TTTTGAAGTGTTTGGATGTTTAATACCCATGTTTCGTATTCATATTCATAATACAAAATTGTTTTTAGAGAGCTTATATTAGTGTTTCTTGTTAAGCGGACGAATAGTATGCCACTGTTGTTTGCAAAATATTAGTATCAATATCTTAAGGTCAGATTGTTTCTCTTTATCATTTTACTAACCAGCACGTCCACTTGTTTATCCAAACTCTAATCTTTGCAAAAACCAGTGACACGTGCTTTTGCTTAACATGTAATATCACGGAAATGGGAATTTTCCCTCCTACATCCGTATGGATTTTTTTTACGTACTGAATCTCTTTGATTTTCGTAACAACATTATGTAACGCCCTGTAGAGCAATTTGCCGTTTTCTATTCACGCGGTATGAAATATGACCATTAAACTTAAACCTCGTGGGGAAGCTTACGTCGAGAGCATTAAGACACTGTAACATAATACGTTCATGATTTTTATGACATTAGATATATCTGTCATCAAAGTGTGGCTAGCAAAAACGCTTCACGATGTAATACAAAAAGGTTCTTTGATTCATAGACAAATATTGGTTGATAACTAGAACGAATAAAATAGAATATAAAGACAAGTGAAATCACTACTAGATTAAGGGCCGACTTCACCAACATTAATATTATGGACCAATGGTAAAATACCTTATCGGAATGCAATTTGACAGAAGCTGTCAAAGGTCTCTGAATATTAGTGATTTCTATTGAAATATTGAATAAAATCGTGAAAATTCGACTGTATTATAAACAAGACCACTTTTTGATTCCAACATGATGCTTTTGTACAGAAAAAATAGGACAACTTTCATGTAATATATGTTATAGGTTTAGATTTAACAATCCGTTATCCCCCTCAGCGAATGGTAATGAGGCAAATAATAGGTCAATTTTCTAGATGCTAAATTTGGCAGCAGATTTAGGCTTTTCTTAATGCATGGCACTCTCGAATTTACCAGCTTCAATATACTGAAAGTTATCATTACATGCCTGTTGAATAGTATGGATTTGTCTGTATTTTGCAAGAAAATAGAATATAAAATACATTCCATCTAATTCCTCATCTTCCTTTACGTCATAATAGTAATCATTTATTAATTTATGTGTTAATGAATTTTTTCAAAGCAATAAAAACATTATGTCCTATCCATCCTAAAACACAGAAAATATGTGTAAGACGTGTCAATCCCTACATCTCCCTGATGCATAATGCAATTACTATGGACATAGACAAAAAATTATGAAAAATGTTTCACAAATAATGTCCTTTTAAGTCCAAAAATCATCAAAACTAGTAACGTTTATTGTTTGTGTTTTTGACTGGCGGGCGTTGACAGGCGGGGATATCTATCTGTCACTCGAGGGTTGAAATGGATCTTTTAAATTTGCTGGTTTTGCATTTTTTTCGTGAAAATGTACTAGGTATCATGATTATAAGCATCTTTGGTAGATTGTTCGATCCGGAATGGGAAAGATCTCCTATTTATGAAAATATTTTTGGTATCATCTAACCGTTGCAATCATTGCACGAACACTGTGACATATGATTTATAGCATAACTCGCTGTCCTATCAATACAAATTTAACATACAGGTCGCCTAGCCGTGGGGATGCAGTGGTCGGGATGAATATCACGGCAGCAACTGATGATTTGGGCATGTCTGGTAACAACGTATGAAGTGAAACTCGCTAACTTCAAATTTTTTAAGATTTTGTACAATTTCTTTGAAAATGATGAAAGATATGTCTGATTTGTCAGGGTAATGTCGCAGCCAAATGGCTCTTTCTGACACAGTCCGGATCGAATGATGACGATACTCGTGAGATGTATTGATACTTCTAAATATAGGATCCTATCGAACATTCCTACTGTCAAGGTACCGACGGAGCTATTTTGCGGCGTCATGGAAATAATTTTAAATTTGCATTTGCATTTTTTCAAGTGTTGTGCAATGATTTTGGGAAAAATGTCACGAAAAGTCTTATAAAGCATAGTAGAGTATATTTTAACAGTTGGCGGAACTTACTCCACTGGGACCAGGAGGGTGAAACGAGATATTAATGCACAATCTGGCAACCCTGTCGCACCTTCACAAAATGGCCGCTGACAACCACACAAGTCACCGTGTTGTGATTGAATAGCATGGAATTAAACCTTCAGAGTATGTTTTGTCACTGGCACCAAGATCCCACATATGTGTCACTCCTTGAAATGCAATAATCAGCTGTATTCAAATAATGTCTAATATAAATTCTTCTTCTTCTCTAGCTTTCCTTGGAGAGATGCCTGTTTCACTGACGCCGATGCGTCGACTGTCTGTTCTTCAATAACCGAAATTATCCACGTCGGAATGGAGGAATACATCCCTCACACAGTGAAAGCTCCTAAACCAGGGTCCAACGGCTGGTTCAACAAATCGTGTGACACTGCTCGCCAGCAGAAGATCAAGGCCCACAGAACCTACTTACAAAACCCCACTGTAGAGAACAGACAAGCCGACGTCGAGTCCAGAAACAAATATAACGAAGCGTTTCGCAATGCCAAAACCCAGCATGATATAAAAGTTAGGCACAGGGTAATGTCGCAGCGCAATGGCAGTCGGTCTTTCTGGACGCTGGCCAAGCAGATTGAAAAGAACTTCTCACACAGTAGCCTTCCACCACTTACGTGCCAGGAAGGAACTATTGTATTCGACTCAAAGGCCAAGGCGGAAGTGCTAGCCAAGATCTTTGCTGCCAACTCCACCATGGACGTCCCCACCAACGCCCAAGTGCCGTCAATTCAAAGGGTTCCCCACACTATGCGGGACGTAACATTCAGGCATAAGACCGTAAGACGAGTGCTCTTGTCGCTCGGCATCAACAAAGCTTCTGGTCCGGACTTGATTCCTGCCATTGTACTGAAGAGATGTGCAGCTGAGCTTGCTCCAGTTCTTTCGCGTCTCTTCCAGATATCTTATGAATCCGGCACCTTCCCTGAAAACTGGAAATTTGCTCACGTACAGCCCATCCCAAAAAAAGGATCTAAAACCGACCCTTACAACTACAGGAATATAGCTCTGCTTTCTGTTATAAGTAAAGTAATGGAGAGGTGTATAAATCGCGAGCTTCTGGACTACCTCGAACGTCACAGCTTGATTAGCGACAGGCAGTACGGTTTCCGGCACCAACGATCCACAGGGGACCTCCTAGCTTACGTCACGCAACGGTGGAGTAAACTCATCCAGTCTCATGGTGAGGCTCATGTCGTTGCTCTTGACGTCACGAAAGCGTTCGATCAGCTGTGGCACGCTGCCCTCTTGAGCAAACTTCCATCCTACGGCCTCCCAGAAAAGCTTTGCAGATGGGTGGCTGACTTTATCTCTGGCCGCAAGATATCCGTCGTAATTGACGGATTCTCCTCTTCATCCCACAACGTCAACGCGGGTGTTCCCCAGGGATCGGTCTTGGCTCCAACACTGTTTCTCTTACATATCAACGACCTCCTTTCCTGCACGATCAACCCAATCCACAGCTTCGCTGATGACAGCACTCTACATGCAGGAATTCAGAGTGACAAGCCGATCTCTGCCGCTGAGCTAGAAAAAAGAAGACTAGCGACGACTTCTTCTCTGACAAGAGACCTGGAGGCTATCACTGCTTGGGGACGCAACAATCTTGTACAGTTCAATCAGTTCAATGCTTCCAAAACACAGTACTGTACTTTGACGAACAAAAAGCGTCTTAGCGCTCATACAGTTTCGATGGACGGTCGAGTTCTACCAAAGAGCCATTCATTTCGGTTGGTCGGAGTCCAGATCACCGAGGACCTGATCTGGCACGAACACATCTCTTCGATAGCTGCAGCTGCTGGGAAAAAGCTAGGCTATTTGTTTAGGGCTAAGAGGTACTTTTCTCCGCATGACCTTCTCACTCTATACAAGGCCCAGATAAGGCCTAGCTTCGAGTATTGCTCACACATTTGGGGTGCTGCCGCCCCGACTACATTGTCCATGCTCGATGCTGTCCAGAGGAGGGCGGTCCGACTGATCGATGACTCTTCTCTAACAGACAGTCTCGGGACTCTTTCGCACCGGCGGGCCGTCGGCGATCTTTTCTATCGCTACACCAACGGGCTTTGCTCCTCAGAGCTCTCTTCCATGATGCCGCCGCGCGATTTGCCTGCCAGACAGACCCGCCTGACTTCGGCGTCCCATCCTAACCGTGTCAAACTTCGTACATCCAGAACTGGCCGATACGACCGCTCCTTTATCCCGATGGTATCTAGATTGTGGAACAAACTACGGGAGGAAGCTTTTCCCAGTTCTACTAACCTGAGGCAGTTCAAAAATCGTATTAACAAAATTTCTTTGGGATCATCATAGCAGCCGCGGTGTTCCGGCATTTAGGCTTCTGCCTGCGCGGCTGTTTCGATATAAAAAAAAAAATATATAACCTAGAATGTGTAGAACTCGTGAAAGAATAAAAACTGAGCCAATATTTGTAGTTTTTTTGCAGGTTTTATAGGTTTGCTGGTAGCTTTAAGGCATATATTTGGGAATTTCTTAATCACTGTGAATATAGTGTGGATGTTTGTTCAGTTCCTAAACAATGAAAAATATTCAACTTTATGGATGTATGGATATCAAAAAACTTGAATGGTTTTCTGGGAATATCAATCTAAGGTGACGTAATGTTTCAATGACAAGTTGTCATCTCATACTTTGACAGTATTTTGTTTTCAGCATTTCATAGTTATTGGTTGCTAAAATTTGTTGATTGGAACTTGAAGCTCATTCGCTGTATCTGACGGTCTGTTACCCAATAGGTGGAGAATAACGGACTGTTGTTGGTGAAGTTGGGCCTAAAAGTGGTATTTGTTTCGGCCCTAGGATACGAAGCCGTCAGTGGGGTGAAAAAAGAAAATTCACAAAACCTACTCGTAAAGTACACTGATCCGCTTGTCGTCATTCCAATGCTTCAAAATCCACATTTGCTTACCTGGTTAGTTGCGTGAGGTGCAAAAAGGCATCATTGAAGATCTTCGTGATGGGATTACCATTCAGTCTAAGTTCCCTTAGCTCGGTGATTGAATCGAAAGTGTGCGAGGGAATATTGCTGAGTTGATTGATGCTAAGATCCAACTCTACCAGGTTGATTAGGTGCTTAAATGAGTACCTGGAATAAAAATAAACAACTAAGTCCCATTTCTGTACCTGCCTTCTATAAACTCAGGTAATCTCGAAAGGACCTAGGTCAAAAGTATTATCTAACCTTGTATAATCCAAGACAAAATCACAAAAAACCATTGCTGCAAAGATTTCGTTTTTTGCCCTAAATGTCACTTAGACCTGTTAGAGACGCTGTAATAATGTACAGCTTTGACGTATGGCAATGCAAGAAACCGTTCTCGAGAGAGGGTGCAAGTAGCTACAGGTGCTAACTTGGGTGAAGGTATAATAGTTGCGTCCGTTTTACATGCATTCTCTGATAGGCTCGGTTTACTAAATTTGTTGCATGTTTCTTTCAGCAAGACTTAATCTACCGAATTTTACTTTGCTTACAATAATATTCTTGCGACGAACCATGTCAGCAAACTGCAGACATTTTTGTAAAAGAGTTGGTAAACGATAGTTGTGTCTTGTAGCCACATAGTGCATATATAAGTCTAGGTACGGTGGCATCGAAACAGAAAGGCCGTAGAAAAAGGATGAGGAAAGTAGCTGAGATATGAGTCGATATTTATAAAAAAAAGTTTTACCTTTTGCTTACAAAATATAAAGCAATTCCTTCAAAGTATATGCATAAAAAGAAGTGAAGGAAAAGGTCTCGCTTCTGTAAAGTAAAAGTTAACGTTTTCTTATTTATGAAAAGAAGCATTTGCTTAAAAACTAAAGGATTTGCTTCTAAAAAAAGGAATCTAGGTTACAGCAACTTTTCTTATTGTCCCGGCATCTTAGAGCCTGCATCTTAAAATTTCTGAATATTCGTTTAAAATCTATTTGTAAGGGCTTGTTTAAGTGATCTTTGGTTGATTAGTCGCAGTGTTAGTTATGGCTAATGTGGAGCATTTACGTACAACAAAAGGAGAATTTATCAGGTTCCAAAACACAGAAAATCAAATTATGCAGGCCAAAGAGAAATCGTTGACCAGGTTCCGTTTTCCCACAGCTATTGGAGTTATCGACTGCACGCATATTCGTCTTGATGGAAAACCAGCCCAATTTGGACAAATATGTAAATCGAAAAGGTACAGTATTAATGTACAGGTTACATGCGACCAGAATTCTGTTATAACTAGTATAGATGCAAGTTGGCCTGGATCAGTCCATGATGCTTGCATATGGTAAAATTCGGCAGTGTGTGATGTCTTGAAAAAAGACAAGAAACACTATTCTTCTAGGGGATAGTGGGTATGGTATAATGTCATGTCTTATAATAATAATAATAATAATAATAATAATAATAATAATAATGTTTATTGGAGTATAAATACATAATAGAATCAAAATACGAGCAAATAATATAACACAAAAAAAATAATACTCCAAAGGGCTGGGGATTGGCATAGCCATTTTTCACCCCCGCCTGAATAGCTAAGCTAAATTCAATAAGTGCATTACTATATCTTACTAGGGTATATCATATGCATTACATAAAGGATATTTAGTTGACTATAATAATGCTAACAAAACTTTAAAATATAATAAGATTAATAATGAGATTTATTCAGCCACTTATGGACTCATTAAATTGTAACTGTAATAGCATTCTTTTGAATTCTCTTTTGAAGCTGTGAATGGACGTTAATTTAAAGAAACTTGGGTAACCATTTAGTATACTGGGAGCTATGTAATAGAAACATTTTTTAAATTTTGAGGTAGTGTGGGCTGGTATATTATAACAATATTCATTACGGAGGAACAGTTGATGGAGTGAAGATCCTTTCTCTAATGTGTCAAAAAGATATTTCGGAGATTTATATTTTAAAACCCTAAATAGTAGAACAGCATAGAGAAGTAACGAGCGATATTTGAATTTTAAAAGATTTTCCCTTACATAATACCCAGTAATGTGTTCGCGTCTGTTTATCTCATTGAAACAAAACCTCATACAATGGTTTTGTAAAACTTGAATTTTCTGTTGCATTTCCTCAGTGATAAAATGGTAATATACAGTACTACAATAATCTAAATGTGTGAGGATTAATGCATTAACAAGTTTTAGTTTGATATCACTTGTTAATATATACTTATATCTCCATAGCGATTTGTATTTATAATAACATATTCTGAGCTTATTTATAATGTGACCTTCAAAACTTAAATTTTTATCAAGTACTATTCCCAAATTTTTTGTTTCTTCAACAAATTCAATGTTAATTCCTTCTAAAAATATGTTCGTATTTATTACTTGTTTACACTTCAGAATCGCTAGTCTAGAATCAACACAACATACTTTGGTTTTCAATGGATTGAGCTTCAAACAATGATTTTTTGAGTACTGTTCAATTATGTCTAAATTTTTATTAAGTTCTGATATTAAAGAATTTACATCGGTTGGTTGACATGGTTTGTAAACTTGTACATCATCCGCATACAAATGTACATTCCAGTCAGATGATATATGTTTTATCAGATCTGAGGTATAAAAAGTAAATAAAATAGGACCTAAAATGCTGCCTTGTGGAACACCAGACTTCAAAGCTCGTAAAGTAGACACTTTACCACGCAATTTTACACATTGAGATCTATCAAACAAGTAATTACTAAACCACAGCATGGCATTTCCGGTCAAACCATAATGGTGCAGTTTTTCACACAAAACTCTGTGATTTACCATGTCAAATGCCTTGCTGAAGTCTAGCATGACTAGTAGCGTTATCATGCCATCGTCTATAAATTTCACTATATCACTGGAAATTTTAATGAGCGCTGTAGATGTATTACGTAATTTCCTAAACCCAGACTGGGTGTCAGGCAACACTTTGTTGATTTCTAGATGCTCACCAAGTTCATCATCTACAATTTTCTCTAACAGTTTGGACATTGAAGGTAAAGCACTTATTGGTCTGAGGTCCTTAAAATCGATGGCATTATTAACTTTTGCAAGTGGTGTTATGACTGCTTTTTTACATAATGATGGCACTTCCCCTGTACTCAGTGATTGGTTGATGATACTGGTTAGCGGATATTTACAAAAAGAGAACACGTTTCTCAACATGTTTGTAGTGACACCATCAACACCCGCAGCATTTGACTTGACTTCTTTCAGTTTTAGTTCAACTCGGTCTGATGTAACATGATTAATTGAAGACTTGCATACTATAGAATTTTTTGATATGAGAATGTTTTAAGAAATAAGTCATCTGGCTGCAGGTTTGGTACAGAGTTAATAAAGTGATTATTGATGCTTTCAGCGTTTTCAAGGTCCTGTGATATGTGTTTACTGGATTTTGTGTGTATATTCCACCTGGAGAAACTATTCCACATCTGTTTAGGATTATTATAATACTTATTAAGCTGGAATTTTATGTAAGCAGTTTTTTCATTCTTCAAAGCTATTCCTAAATAATTTCTTAGATCACTATAATATGCACGTTCTTTATTTCTGGTTCTTCTGAACTTGTTGTATGCTTTCCGCTTCAAATTTATTATACACTTGATTGTATGTGTCGCATAAGGACTGTAGTTCTTACTTGAAGTAATTCTTTTCAATGGGGCATGTATATTGTAGAGCATAATAATAGTTTCGGTAATGTGAACAACTTTGTCATCAAGACTTGGCAAACTACCTATGTAGCTCCATTCCACAGAAGCAGCATCGTTGGCAAACTCAACCTGATCGAAATGCGAGAAATCTCTGTAGTAAAATATTGCAGGTGTGTATTCCGGAGTTTCAATTTCCAACTTACAGAAGTACAATCTGTGATCAGTGACTTCTGGCATGTCTAGAGTTCCACACTCGTAAACAGTGAGTGTATTTTTTGTAAAAATGATATCGATCATTGTTGCTGTATTTGCTGTTATTCTTGTTGGTTCATTAATTACGCGGTTCATGTTGAATAGAGACATCATTTGCAAAAATAGTTTGCTTTGACCAGCATGCTCATCGGTGAGGTCGATGTTGGTATCGCCCAATAGTATTGCTTCATCATGTGTGACGTATATAAAGGCAAGGATATTTTCCAAATCAAATAGAATGTTCAGTCGACTGGACGGTGGTCGGTAGATAACACCTACTGCAATACTCTTGCTCTCGAATTTTAGTGACAACCAAAGATGTTCAATGCCATTTGAAGGAATATTCCGAAGATCTATAACTCTGTACTTTATGCTAGACCGGATGTAAAAACATACACCACCACCTTTTCCTTCTCTATCGTTTCTTATAAGCTGGTAGTTAGGCAGAGAAATCAAATCAGAGGGGAAGTCTGAAGAAGTCTCAGTTAACGCTATGATGTGGAAATCTTGTTCTAGTATGGTGTCTGCTAACATATCGAAGCTTGAGATTAGTGACCTAACATTGACATGGGATACATTTAAATCTATTGTTCTGTTTTGTAAAGCCTCCGCAGTTAATTAGAATTGTTTTATTTGGCGTAACTTTTAAATTGCGTCTTGATTGCTATATAGAATAGTTGATGTTGTTCCTGGCTATTTCAATCTCCTTCCTCATGACTGAACAATTAATTTTATCGAAAGCAGAGTGATCAATACTAAGGCTCAACTTAAATTTTTTGTTAAATTCCAGACAATTCGGGCAACATACTTTAGAGTTTAAACATGTATCAGCTTTATGACCCTTCTCTCCGCATTTCATACAGAAGATATCACTGTTACATTTATTGGCCGTATGGTTGTAGCCACTGCAATTATAGCACCTCAATACATTGATGTGCTCATAAACAGAACTGCCCAGTTCCTTGTTGACTACATCGTTTATCTTTTGGACTATATTTTTATCTGCTCATGAGATTTTCAGGGTACCATTATCAGCTTGCTTAACTCCGGTTACCTTCACATTTAACTCGGCAGGCTTTAACATTTTCAAAACGTCATTTTTCGATTGTAGTGTTTGCTGTATCTCTTTAGGTTTGATAACGCTGTTTGAGTTTTCGTTTCTCACCACTGAACTGTACTGTGGTCTTACTTTGTTTGTGTCGTCAGTTGTAATAT